AGTTAAATATTGAAGTAAAAGTGCTTGTTGGTTCATCTGACTGATCAATTATCATCACATATGACATTATCATATTATCAGTAGTGAAACATTAGTGTGTCTGCAGCATGTTGCTGTTGTAGTTGTCGCAGTTTTGAACTTCTACAAAGTTTGTATGTACAGGGACAGCAGATAAATCTGAGGAATTGTAAGATGATTCATGTGAGAGGGAAGAAGACAAAACAAAGACCTGATTCACAAATCAGTTGTCAGTTTTTCTCCAATCTTTGATTTTTTTTTTAGTGAGATACTTGATCATTTGAACATTTATTGAAGTCAAACCAAGAAGAAAAATCACTATTTAGTGGCGCCGACTCCCAGACATCTGAAATGTGACAAACGTGGCCCTGACAACACAGAAATGTAATCTTTAACAATGTGTTGCGTTTTACAAGCCTGTTGTATTATGGATTGTGTAAAATCTTCAACTTGTGAGTAAATAAAGCTGTCAAATAAATGCAGTAGAGTACTAAACACAACGTTCCCCTCTGAGATGTGGTGGAGTGGAAGCATCGAGTCACATAAAATGGAAATGTCCTTGTAAAGTATCTCAGAATTGTACTAAAGAGCAGTACTTGAGTAAATGCACTTAATAAATAGTAATAAAGTGATGCTAATATAAGCAGATTTTGTGATAAGGGAGCTTTACAAAATGCAGAAATCAGATCATTGTCTTCCAATATGGAAAAAAACTGAACCTCCATCAGAAAAAAACGTGATTCTAGAAGCTGCTTGATATCAAGCTATCAAAATCTGAAACTATCTGACCACACGGCTAAATGTGTTCTGATACCTGAACAAAATACAAAGACACCTGTACCTTATTTTGCCAATCAGGAACAGCCGCTGCTCTTCTGGTTTCAATCTTGCCACCAGATTTGAATATTAACTGCAGAGGTTTGCTCCCATTTAGTTATGAAATTATTTTCACCCAACACTCATGATGCATGATCAGGCCTTTTCTGTCGCTTTATGGGATTTATTTTTGGGCTCATTTTAAGAAGGTCAAGTTCTTCCACCTGAAACTGAGGAAACTGTTTCCTCATGGAGCTGGTTTGGTGCACAGAGGCTTCCCCAAACTGTGGACTTAACTTTAGCCCACAAGATACTGTGTGCTGTACCATCAGTACTTCTCTTCTCTGGAACTAGTTCAAAGAATCCTATCAAAATTACATAAAATCGAGGCGTCCACACACTTTTGGCCATATAATTTAACATTTACACACTCAAAAATACACAAACTGACTTGTTAAGATGAAGATTTCTGGTCACTGTTCTCAATAATGCAGTCACTCTGACAGTGAATCCAATCACATGAAAGATTTATTTCCCCATTTTCATGGCGTCCTCTTTACGCTCTCTGCCATCATATCTGCAGAAATCAGCCCCCGTGCATGCTGGGACATGGTGGCTGATTTACCGTCCTGCTGGTAGGGATGAGTTATTCCTCGGTTAGCTCCCGTGGCAGAGGGAGCAGAGAGAGCGCAGACCTCCAGAGAGCATTTATTCTGGCAGTAATTCAACCAGAGAAAGGCTGAGAGAGGGAGAGGCATGCTGAGCAGCAGGCTGCCTGCTACTATTCAGACACAAACGCTAATTAAAGCCAGAATTCCACATATCAGCTCCTTTTCTCCCATCTGAATCATCCAACACACACATACATGTATTTCTCACCAACAGAATAACAAGGGAATGTGTAAAAAACATCACCTGCTTGAGTCCAGCAAACCTTGAGATGCTCTTAAAGATGAAACATCCATTGTAGAAGTAAAAACATTTCCTCTTTGGCAGAGCAAAGGGAAAATCAGATTAGTTATTTTTGAATAAATAAGCGGTTTTTGGCTATTTTACAGAGATGATAATGGTCAAAAAAAGGATCAATAATAAGATGGTGTATCCAATGAGATTATATAGAAATCTATCATATATCAATTAAATGTTCAACAAATGCAAAGACACTGTCGCAATGATGTAAAAATATAGACACAATGAGGATTAAAAAGCTTTAACAGTCATGCAAAATGACATTTGGAACTGATATACGGTACATTTGCTACAATACACAATAACACAAACCGCAGCACAAAATGTCACTGTTGTCTGTTTTTGTTTTACATAAGTTTAATCAGAAGAGAACCTTTCAGCAGTTGTCCTTCAATATTAACAGGTTAAAGCCAAAATAGTTCTGTCATAAATAAATTGATTTTTTTCAATAACGATACTGATAATTGGAAAAATGATCAACAATTGATTTCTTTAACCCCTAAAGTCCAATATCAGTGTAATCTCTGGGACACAGAAGTGCAAGGTAAGGCACCGGGGGGAATGAAAGTCTAATTTAGGCATTTGTACCAAATTTTGGTTGCATATCAGCCACGTTTTCCTTCTGTGTTGAAATGTTCTCAGTCGTGGCATCAACAGTGGCTACAGATGGAGAGAGGTGGCTTCATTAGAGCCAAAGTAGTGCATTTTTAGATTAATTACATTCGTCTGGAATTGATTAAAAAATGATCATGAAACCTACAATGTGAAAAAATGCTGAGTATTGGATCCAATAATCAACCAGGCGGATAATTAGTCAACCACCACATGGAAATGAAACTGGCTTGAACTGAATCAATACATCATGCAGAGATTCAACCACAGATCTAAACCAAGTGTTCGTCCATTCTGTCTTCTCTGCAGTACGTCCACTTGTTCTAGCTCACTCATATATACTTCTTTTTTCATTCATACATTTCCTAAACCAGCTGAAGTGTTACTCAAACACGAGTGTAAAGTCAGATTAATCCACATATGGTGCTTTAGAGTATTTAAGCACCAGGAGAGTGTTTGTGAGATTAAGTCAAAATGAACAACAATGTTTGTGTGATGTGGTTTTATTAGTATCTGGACAATAGTGGAAGTCACTGGCATTGAGAAATAAGATATTAAGCTTTAGATACACAGATACTACCTAGATTTATTGTCGTTCTTATGTTTAATCTGCCTTTTTATGATACAAAATGCACAAAATATCACCAGCCTTTTCCGTGAAGAAGTGAAAAAGCTCCTGTTCCTGTGGCTGCAGTGTGAGTCTCCAGTGTTAAAGGGTTCACTTTAGATCAACAGACTCATGTCCTTGGGTTTTTGTATTCGAGCACCATTCATTTAATAAGCAGCCAACAAATGCAATTTGAGGGAAACCGCCTTCTGATTACCTCTGATCACAGCCTTGTTTACCTCCACCCATGTCAGGAATGGCAATTTATCTATTACTACAAAGCTGCAGAGACGCGCGGCGGCCTGTTCGTGCCTCGGCATTAGGGAGCATTTGAGTCTAAAGATGATTTGGGTTTTATTATTCACATAATGCATCAGGGATGAGCCCTCTGAGTCCCTGTTTCATAATCGTAGTCATAATCACAGCCATAACCACTGACTGTGATGTCGACAGAATATGAGACACGGATGACGGGCGTTTGGGCTGGCCGGTCGACATGCTATTCGTACTCATTATAGGAAGAGAGAGAGAGAGAGAGAGAGAGCCGCAGTACCATCTTTGCCAGCGCTCAGCTTCTGGCTAATCTGCAACTACTGTCTGATTAGTCAGAAGGAAAGAGCAGAGCCGGTCGCCAGCGGACAGCTGAGCAGTTATCTTCATTACTGTCCCTTCAGCTTACCGCTTTCTCTTAACGTCACACTCATTTCCTCCTCCCCTGTCTCATCTTTGTCTCTTTTACCAGCTCCCCTTTTTTTTTTCTCACTATCCTGCACTGCCTGTCTCTCTGTATCTGTCTCTCAATCTCATGTTTTAATAGCCTGACAAGCAGGGCAATAATCCCTCTATTATTATTCTTGCCGCAGAGAAAGAAAAAGAAAAAGCCCGAGGGGGTAGACAGGGCAGCGTTTATATAAAAATGAATGTGATTATTCTGGTGACGGAACCACGCTTCAGAGATAGCGTCTCTGTGTCCAGAGCTGTGGTTATCCAATATTCCAATATGTATGTGGACTTTATTGTTGTCCCCGTGGCTGAAGAACTCTGACAAATTTCTGTCATGTGGCCTGAGCCAGTGTCTGAACTGAGCTGAGCTGCATTATAAGGCTTTAACGCAGGCCGTTGAAGAGGCTCCTCTTGTGAATTAAGTGCAGGCGGGATTGAAATCAGTATTGCAAGTATATTTTATTTCAATAAAATTGCATGTAAATGAATCAAATGAATGCAGTCAACTTCGCGCCAATCAATCAATCAATCAGACTTTATTTCTATTGCACTTTCATACTAATGAAATGGAACAAAAAGGGCTTTACACATGAAAAGAACAAAAAATTTAACAAAACAATACAAACAACGCCCTCAACATCCTGTTCTATACGAAGGACCCTAAAAGAGAGGAATTAAGGAACTGACAAAATGCTGTCCTACATAAATAACACATGCAGTAAGGAAACACCAAAAGAAATAAAATAAATAGAAATTAAATTAAATGGTATGAAATAAAAAGAAATACAAAGATTTTTTTTTAAAATAAAAAAATAGAAATAAGTAAAGGATAAAATAGAAGTCAAAAGTCATAAAAATAAAAAAAAAAGAACAAAAAATGAAAACAAAAGAAAAGAAAATAACCATACAATGACTAAAATATGTAAAAAAAAAAAAAAAAGAAAAGAGAGAATAAATAGAGCAACCACTGAATAAAATCGGTTCTAGAAAGTGTATTAAATGAATAAATCCATCCTATCAATCAAAAGCCTGACTAAAAAGTTAGTTCTTGAGTTTGCCTTTAAAAACATCAACGATCTCTGCTGCCCTCGGGTCTTCTCGAGGGCTGTAGCGTCATTTCGATTTTCTTAAGGCCATTAATTTCGACAGCTACATTTCCTAAAACATGTCTCCTCGCCTGTTTTTGTCCTTGCAGGCAGCAGATCTTTGTACCTGCCGACTGCCTGTCCGAGGGCCGCTCTCTCTGCCCACAGCCATGCCAGACGTGAAGCCTCCCCCACCATGTGACTACCCCTCCACTTCCTCCGCCGCAGCCTCCGCCGGCTCTCCCGCTGGCTGCACCTCTCACCTCGACCTTGTCATCGACATGGAGCCCTGCATCACCAACCTCCCCCTGTCCCCCGACCCCTTATCCTCCTTCCCCCGACACAGGCCCGACCTCCCTCACTACCCGGGACCTGCCTTCCCGCTCATGGCTCGGTGCAACAGCAGCACCCTGCTCACTAACTTGGGTCTGAGGTACTGCTCCGGCCGGCAGGGTCCTCTGGGGGTGGAGCCGGGTCAGGGGATGGTCCCAGGATGCAACGTCCACACCGGAAGCAGCGGCAGGAGACCTTACAGGAGTATGGAGAACCTGAACTGGAACACTATGGCAGATTCCGGCCTGTGTGCGCTCAGCGCTGCCCCCTACAGGAGCATGGACAGTGAGTTTATTTTGCGCTACACCTCCACCAGTCACTGGTATGATGGGCCTCCAGATGGATCTGTAGTGGGGGCCCACGGGCTGTTGCCTAACCCGGAGAGCCTGGCGTTTTACCCTCGGCACGGGCTGCCCAGAAAGGACCTGCCGCTCTTCCCTCAGCTCCTGCTTCCAGGTGGTGTCGACGAATGGGACGCAAGGAAGGGCCTGAGGGAGAAGCTCCGCCTCCAGAGCGCAAGGTCAGCTGTTGAGCCTCTGAAGCCCCTCCCACTGCGGCCTCAGGTGACTCCGGAGAGTATGCACAATGGGAATATTGGGGCCAGGCCGCTTTGCACAATGCGCATCACTAGCCCAGAGGAGATCAAGCAGGAGGTGTTAAGGCGCTTACAGCTCCGGCGACAGAACAGTAGCCCCAACCTGGCTCTCCACAGCTCCCCGTGCAGCCCAAAAGCGGTAAAGACATCCTACACAACTGACAATATTGCAGGTAGCAGGAGCGGATCAGACTCTGCATCAGAGCGTCGCAGACCTCCTGTGGGACGCTTACATATCCCTACGTTTGAGGAGTTTAAGAGGATGAGGCAGAGGGAGGGGAAGCAGAACCTGGAGTCAACAAAAGGAAAACCTGACGCAAGAGCATCAGACAGCAAGATACTCTCTTCTGATTGGGCAAGCACTCAGTTGGGTTCTAGTGGAGAGCAGAGAGAGGATCAAGAAGAGGTGGAGGGAGACAAGAGTGCAGGTGAAAGGACAGGCAGCAGTGATGAGGGGCTGCAGACCTTCACCTCCTCAGAGAAACTTGCTTCTAACACTGTGAGCAATACCAGCGCTGCGTCTCCCACTCCCTCCTCCACCTCTGTGTCCTCCGCGTACTCTCCGATCCGCACAGGCCCGTCTCCGCGCTCGCCCCTGCAGCCACAGGCCAGCTCGGCCCAGGACAAAGCCGCCATTGTAGGAGGAGACGACGGGAGCGCCAGGCGTAGGAGGAGCAGTCTGGAACCAGCTGGGTCGGTTCCCTTCCCGCCCAGCAGGGAGAACTGGGACCGTCCCTCCAGCTGCTGCCCAGCGCTGCTTCTGGAGGGGACCGACCTCTCCAGCTATGGAGCCAAGATCTATAAGATGAAGGATGGTCTCATCGGCTCGGCGCTGGACCTCATCAAGAAAAGGTTAGTCTGGGAGGCGTGGCAGGAGGAGGGGGAGGAGGGGGAGTGTGTATGTGTTAATTATTGTCTGAGGTATTCAGATTGTTTACTCTTGTCAGCAATTACAGGCAATTTAACCCTCTGAACCCCAAGCTGGGCAGTTTTTTTTTTATTTTGCTCCTCTCCCGTTATTGGTCACTGTGGGATAATTTTTCACTACAATATAAAGTCCTGCGCCTCTATAGGAAGAGCATTCCCAGTGTAATCAAAAATGTCTTTTGTGCAGTATGAGCAGTTATAATGCCATAAATCATTAAACAGGAAAAACAAAAGTGGAATAGCTTTGATTATGTATTTTGCAGAACATATACACCTTTTTTCCAAGTGCCCCCTGTGTTACCAATACTGGAAAAAATGGTGGCATACTTTATACATACTACAGATATTTTACAACTTCATGTTTTGTGTTGGGCTGCAAGGTGTCGCGGTAGTTATCACTGTTGCCTCACAGCAAGAAGGGTGCTGGTTCACATCCCAGTAAAGACACCCAAGTACTTTCTGTGTGGAGTTTGCATGTTCTCCCCGTGCAGCGTGGGTTCTTTCTGGGTTCTCCCGCTTCTTCCCACAGTCCAAAAACATGTTGAGGTTAATTGGTGATTCTAAATTGTCTGTAGGTGAGAATGTGAGTGTGCTTGGTTGTCTGTCTCTAAGTGTAGCCCTGTGATAGACTGGTGACCTGTCCAGGGTGTCCCCTGCCTTCACCCAAAGTCGGCTGGGATAGACTCCAGCCCCCCGCAACCCTAGTGAGGATTACGTGGTGTATAGATAATGGATGGATGGATAGCTTGTGTTCATGTTTGCCTCCTGTCTGCTCTGTGTAAACACAGCCTGCAGTTCAGCCCAATTCAACCAAAAAGTCCCAGAATTTTTTCTCATGTGACTGTAGGTTGCAGCTAATCTATAAGGATGTGACTTTTGTGCAGAGAAGTGCAGAATTTTTGTTTTTTTACAGAATCAGGTTAAAGCAAATGGTTGATTTTTGGTGGAATTTTTAAACAACACATGTAGAATACAGTGATTGTGATGAAATATCACAGTTAAGTTTCCTGATGAAACTGCACAAGACTGCATTTTTTCTGTTTTCACAGTTTAGCTCTGACAAATGATGAAATCTGGAGAGTTTTTAGATAGACCACATGCCTTTCAAACCTCCTGGTGGGTTTTGGGGTTCAGACGGTTAAGTACTTTAAAAATAATATAAAAACCTGGACTTTTGAGGCCGTTTACTGTTGCTGTTACTGTAGAGGGATGTTTAAAATCCAATAAATCTTCTTTTTTTTTTTTTCATAAACACATCAGATATTACAGAACTTTTCTGACTATTTCTTCATTTTAATAAAGCTGCATTCTGTATGCTAAGAATCTGAATTTTACTTCCACAACAACCAAAATCAAAATAGCCTTGTTAAAGTCTTTTGTGTTTGACTTCACCTTTGAGTACAGACCAGCTCCGGAAAAAACAAATGAGAAGAAATATTTGATTCTTTTCTAATTTCACTCTCTCTCCAAGGCTGTGCTGTACATACAACAATACCTGGGTGTTAGCATATTGTGTTTAAATCCAGTTAATCTTTTTGACGGTGAAACTAGATCTCATAGTCCACAGTATCTGAGCCCTGTAGCGGCTCACAGCAGCAGAGGTGTGTGTTTGTCTGTAAAGTGTATGCACATCCGTGTGTGTGTTTTGCGGTGCGAGAGCGTCGTGTCGGTGTGTGTGAGTCGGTCAGTGTGGGCCCACACGTGCTGTTGTGTTATTGATTTATCTCAGTTATTGTGATAACAGCTGTCGGAGCTAACTGGGTTGGCTCTGCAGACGAGACTGTGGGCGGGAGGCTGGCATGAGGCTTGACAGACTGGAGGACTGGCACTGTCCCTGCAGACTTGCTGTTTGCCCGTCTCTCCTCTCTCAGTGTCAGCTGTTGGCTAAATAAATGCAGGCATCACTCCACCGTGGTTCATTCTGATCAAGGACAAACAAGACGAGGGTGTGTTTTACAGCACTGTAGTGCCGTTTAGGCCTCCGTGCAATGTAAATATCAGACCCTGAACACAGTGGAGCTGCTTGATTAGGCCAGTTGGAGAATATAAACTCCGCCCGTCTCTGGGCTGAAGGCTTTGATAGATGGGAGATAGACGGTATCTTTCCCCGCCTGTCAGGACTCTCCACTGACTGTCGCTCCTTTGTCTGCACTGCTGGAAGGAATGATGGATGTCGGAAGCTCTACTGCATGAAGGCAGCAGAAAAAATAACAGTTGTGTGTGTATGTGCATGTGATTGTGTATATACAGCATATGTGCAGAGCTGCAGTCGTGGGCTGCAACTGAAGGTTATTTTTACAATCAATCTATACAGTCTATCAAACAGTAAAAAAAAAACACCTGAGATGATGGTTTCAGGTTGCCTGTTATTTCCGATTATCGCTACAACCAGAGGTTAGTGGCTGTGTGAGGCTGCACCTAAAGTAGGCACAGTGGTTGTTAGCATGCTGACACACAAAGTTGATCTGAGGTTGACAACGATGTCTTTAGATTTGCAAGTTATATGTCAAAATGGGGAGTTTGCATGTTCTCCCTGTGCAGCGTGGGTTCTCTCCGGGTTCTCCGGCTTCCTCCCACACAGTCCAAAAACATGTTGAGGTTAATTGGTGATTCAAAATTGTCCGTAGGTGTGAATGTGAGTGTGCTTGGTTGTCTGTCTCTAAGTGTAGCCCTGGGATAGACTGGTGACCTGTCCAGGGTGTCCCTTCGCCCTAAGTCGGCTGGGATGGACTCCAGCCCCCCCGCGACCCTAATGAGGATTAAGCGGTGTATAGAAAATGGATGGATGGATGGATGTCAAAATGGGAAGTTCTGGACAAATATGAACCTGTTGGTGGGGCTATATGAAAAGCGAGGGGGTCAAGAAAGGTGGCAGTTCATGCAAAACTTGCTGAAATATTTGAATAAAATCTACAAATGTGAACATCAAAGGAAAAGCCAAGAGCTCCCTATGATTCACCCTCAGGGGATCAAGAATGTCTGCACTAAATTTCATGGCAAGGAGCTGTTCAGATATTTCTCCCAATTTACCAACCAGTTACTCAACCAGTGATTTTGGCATTGCTACAGTCCTTACATCGAGCTCCAGGAGTTCACATTGTTTGTCCCAAGTGGATTCATCTTTGTTGTTCAAAAGGCACCCATCACACAACACACTTCACACTCCCCTGTGATTTAAATTCAACCCGAGGCTCTGTGAATGTTTTATTACTTGAAGATTTATTAATTAAACATGACAGTATTCTGTGTGATCTCTGCACCCTGAGGTGTTTGACTTCCACCAGTAAGTCTCTTTGTTTAAGTGTGTCATGCAGCACATAACTGCATACTGAGCACAATACAGCTCGATCTGCAGCATGACAGTAATATTCATATTATTACACCTGGGAGGGTTTCTTTATAGGTTAGAAGTAGATTGAAGCATTAAAGCAGCACCGCCGAGTTAATTGCACACTGCAGTAAAGTTGCATCGGTTATGTATAGCATGTAGAAGGGAGGTGTGTATATCTTTTCTATTTAGTTGTGTACGTTCTCCATGTATTTGTCTCCATTAGATGCATTCGCTCAAAGAGAAATATATTGGATTCATTTAAGTGATCCATGCATCAGTAAAACTGACAGCCAGGCTAATTTCAGTGTCACGTCTTGCCGTGGTGAGTGGTGATCTATCTCACGCAGCAGTTTCCTGATAAATTAAGCTACAGGTTATTACTTCCCATGCATCATCCAGGGTGTGACAGCTAATACTGTGAAAGAAAGGCCTTTTTAATGGCAGCTTGTCCCAGAGAAACCCCTTTGGATGCTTCCTCAAAACTGGATTAATTCTATTTGCCTTTTTTTTTGTTGTTGCCACAGTTTAATTTGGACATTTTGACACCTCTCATCTGCACTTTTGGCTTTGTTGATTATGTGTTTAATGCAAAAAAAAAAAAAAAGAATAAAAGCGCAGTTTCCTAGGGTTTGATGTAGCTTATTATGCAAAATGTGTTTGTGCTGATGTGCGTGCGACTGTCGCGGACTATCAGAGGGATGTTGGGAAATTATTTTTACGACATGTCCGGAAAGAGCTCAGCAGTTTAAATGGTTTGAAAGAGACCGGCTCAAAAAAGGCTGTTATGTAACAACCATTAGAATAATAAGACCTCATATTAATTTGCCACAGAGATATATAAAGGTACAAAATTATATGTATATCTAGAAATTATATAAATGATGCTGTAACTACAAAACTATAAACTGAACTGTTATTTACTTTAATTCATTTTGGGAATTATTTTTCTTCACTTTTGCCTCCAGTCATTGGTCAGATGCAGCACAATTGAGACATAGTGACTGCAGCCAAGTCCGACTTGGTTAAATTACAAAATTTCCAAACACCCAAGCCTTCGAAAGTGTAGAAATAATTTAAATAATCACAGAGCAAACAGGTGTTTTGTGCACGGTGCAGAGTTTCAATAGCAGCAAAACCAGATAGAAGCACGCAGGAGGCACTTCTGTTTGCTTCGCTCCTGATCTCTGTGCTCAAATAAACTGCATTTTAATACAGCCAAATCCCCAATTAAGCTGTTCTTGTTCACATAATTTTCTGTTGTCACACAAAAGAACGAGTATGAAATAGTGACTGAAATAAAGCTCATTAAGACTACACGTTGAACAGCAGTCACTTCCAAGCTGCTGCTCTGCACCGCTAAAATCCTGATTTTGTCACCTTAATGTCGTCTGACAAACTCACCATAAACAAGAATTAACGTGAGATAAAAACAGTTGTTGTGCTGTGAGTTTGGCTGTATTTTCCTGAAATTCAAAGCTACTACCAAGTCAGAGAACAATTACTGAATGAATAAGAATAAAAGGAGATGCTCTGGTTTGTAAAATATCCAGACTGGCCATGTTGCACTTGAATTTGTTTTGGAACTGGACGACTGACTTGCATAATAACACACTTTATTATTTATATATGTTCAAGTTTCCAGCTTAAACCAACAGTTTTGCACTTTAACATGTAAATATTACATTTTCTACTGTTGTGCAGTATACAATAACACACAGTTTGTCAAATACAATTCAATGAAAGTCATTTTAGATCAATCAATTCATCACTAAAACAGTCAGTAGATTAATCAATATAAAATAGTTGGAAGCCCTACGCAGAAATAGTCAACACTGTGGGTTCACCCAGGATTCAAACCCTGCTCTACTGAGTGAAAGTCTAATCCACTGCACCAGCAAAGCCTATTCTCTCTGGATTTTACTGCTCTTAATACTCTCTCACCTAATCCAGGTGAAAAGTCCTGTGATTGGCTAAAATTTCCCATCACAGACTAGATTTTCTAAAGCCTGAAAATGGAGCCAGGAGGAGGTGCAGAAGTCTAGTTTGTATTCAGACCACTTGAATATCCTAAAAGGTTAGATGGAATTTTTGCCCAACGATGTCAAAGAAACCTCAGATTTAACTTATTTCTGATTAAAGTATTCCAGCAAAAGTGACACCGTCCTCTGGTTCCATACCAGTTATTATCTGTTGTCCTGAGTCTGTCCCAGCTGATAATGAGCGAGACATGAGGTACACCCTGGACAGCTCATCAGTCCATCACAAGGCTAACACAAGAAGACAGACAACAATGCACCCTCACACTCACACCTAAGGTCAATTAACACACCAAATCCCCAATTAACATACCATCCAAGTCTTTGGACTGTGGAAAGAAGCCAGAGCAGCTGGAAATAAAATGCCCAACAAAGAAAGGCCCCAACTGACCAGGAGGGTACCCTGTGACTGCCTCAGCTTCATATCATTGTAAACTTAATAGATTTGGCCTATGGACCATTGGTTGGACAAAACAAGCAATTTTTAAGGCAACACTTTGGATTCCAGAAGCTGATAAATACCAATTCCACTGATGCACAGACTCAACAATGTAATGCTTGTTCAAAAAAACACAGTCGACAGACAGATTATAATGAAACAATCACTAGTTGCATCTCCCAATCCCAACAATACAAGAGATTTGGATAAGAAGGATAAGAAAACAATATGCGTACAGTAGCAACAGCAGCAGTTAAACTGATGATAACAAGGTGATATATTGTGGCACGAAACATGAGGGAGAAGAGAAAAAGAGGCGATTACATGCAGCATTACATTTAAGCTCAGCAGCCAATATCACCAAATGTATCTGCGGCTGCTATTGGATAAAAACCACCCGACCAACCATCCCCCACCCGTGTTACATACACCACTTTGGGGGGGAAAAAAAAAAAAAAGTCAATATTTCAGGAATTTACAGCCCGTCTTGCCTTCTGAGAGCCAGACATTGTTGAAACTCCATTATGGGCTTCGACCCCTGGGTCTATTAAACTTGCTGAGCCACAAACACCTTTAATTTGAGTAAAACTATAATATTCTTTAAAATTGCTGTTGCAATGTTTTTCTTTTGTTCTTGCAGTGATAGGAGTGATATTATATTTCGCGCCCGCTCAACCGTGAAGCTCACCAGCATTTGAAAATAGCGGAATCAATATCCTGCGTGTAGTTTCTGTTGATAATAATGTCATAAGCACAATTTAAAGATGTGTACGTTGCTTTAAAGCTCCGCTAATCAATGTTTCATGCATTAACATTGAAGTAAATGACTTCCTGACACAGGAAAGGAGTCCAACTGATAGGGCATTATTAGCTTTAAGTCTCTTTTAGCTCCTTCTTTTGGTTTTACGGCACATTGACTGCACAATTTCATTAAACAAGCTCTGATCAGATCACTGTTTGGGACCAGTCAGCACCAAATTTCAGACAAAGTTAGCAACGTAGAAGCGAGTGAGGCTGGTATTTTCCCTTAAGAGTTAGGTGACACGAAACCACATCGAAAAGGAGAGTGAGTTTTGAACTACAGACAGCCGCATGATCAGATGGAATGGAAATCGGGGTGGAGAAAAAGAGGTGGGGAATAAATAGCAACAAAGGTTCCCACCCAGATGCAAGACAGGCATGCTGCAGTTCATGGTCAGTGCTTTACTCCTAAGGCACCCTGCTTTCTTTAAAGACTTCTTGTCTCTGAAGTGTCTTGTTTGTTATCTGCTCTTAAAAATGCATGAGTGTGTCCCTGCAGGCATGTGGTGTGTGAATTGCAGCGAAGTGTAATTTTTATTTTTTTTGTGCGCTTTTTGGGATGTGTCAGATCACATGCTGGCAGTGTTGCGCTGCGAGAAAGGATGCCCAGTTATCAGACAAAGGAATGAAGCAAATAAGTCTGTGTTTGTGTGTGGTTGCGTGCAGCCAGCGTCCCTGTGGTCCGAGGGTTCAGGTGTTAATGTCCGCTGATGTGGCTAATTACTGTCCTCCTGAGGAAGAGTCGGGAGTCGGGGTCTGGGGAGGGAGGAGAGGCATTGATTTGGGTGTTTGAGGGGGGGTAAAGAGAAGAATGAGAGAGGAGGCGGAGGGTGGGCGGTGGGGATAGAAGAAGAAGAAGACTCAGCAGGAAGCAGAGAGGCATGTGAGCCGGCGAGGGAAGAATGAGGAGGGATGAATGACAGGGATGCTGTAAGCAGAAGAGAGCTCTGCCAGAATTATAATTTCATCCCTCCACGTTTTCTGCCTCTTCCTCCTCCCTGCTTTGACTTTTCCCTCTTCCTTCGTTTACTTCCTTTCTCCTGCTTCCCTCCTCCTTTCACTCTCCCTCTTCTTCCCCTTGTCCTTCCCATTCTCTCTCTCTCCCTTCCTTCCCTCCATCCATCTCTCTCTCTCTCTCTCTCTCATCTCTCTCTCACCCCACCACCTCTCCTCTGTACCTCCATCTCCTCTCCTCTCTCCACCAGCTGCAGTGCAGAGATCTCCGCCGAGGCCCCCGTCAGGCTGTCAGGTGACCGGGACGGAGGCTGTGACATCACCGCCCCCTCGACCGACTGTCAGCCCTCCGCCGTTGCCATGGCAACGTCGGCAACGGCCTGCGGAGCCGAGGCTGGCGACGAGGCGCCTGCAGGAGAAGGAGGTGGAGGAAGAGAGGAAGCAGGAGAATGCGTAAGGATTTCATTTTCTTTCTGCTTTTTTGTTGTTGTCGTATTTCAAATCTCGTAAGAGTGTCGTCTGCGTGTGGCTGCAATTCGTTGTTGCTTCGCGTTGTGCAGAAAGACATAGATCTATTGGTATTCAAGGATGGCTGGGACAAGCAAGGGGACTGCGACACACACACACACATACATACACACACACACACACACACACATCATTCACACATACTGATGCAGAGGTATTTGTTGAGACAAGAAACAAGCATGCAGCGCTCTGTCTTCGAGCAACAGCTCAACGTCTGAGGATGCAGCAAAAAGAGGATTAAGCCCCCCTCCAGCAGCCGGCTGCTGCTGCTGCTGCTGCTGGTAACTCAACGCTTCATTCCTGTTCTCTGCGTGGTTTCCTCTCTCTGCTGGCTGGCTGCAGCTTGACACCAGCATCAGCTGCAGCTAGCATTGTGCTCCTCTCTGCATTTGCAGAACAGCAAAGCCAGACTGACATGGAGTCGCATCTCGCCTGCATGCCGCAAGGCTGGAGGTAGTTTAGAGAACAGATGTCGACGTGCGTTTGCTTTCTTGTCTTTTCTTCATTTCTTGGGCTGTGAATTCAAAATGTGGCCTGCCTCTGCATTCCCAAAGTAAGAGCTGCAATTTGATAATTCAGCAGAACATGAATTATTCTCCTTCATTTCATGTGATTGCTGCGAGCTGTGCATCATGTTGTTGTCTGGTGTGAAGCAATGCAAACCTGCCTGCGCCTTTCAGTCATGTGCAGCTGTTAGTTGTCAGAGAACTATCAACATTTAGGGAGCTAATGGTTGATGTAATGCCAGAATCATCCGTCTCATTGGATGTGGGTGACGCCTCTGGGATGAGGAGACTCGTGTTACAGCGATGACCTTTGAACTCCCCGCTTCAGGTCAACTCTCAGGGGCAGGATAGACCCTAAAGGGATTTTTTTTCAAAGCCACGAGGAGTGTGCAGAATGCTGCAGTGTTTGGGGAATTCCTTGCCTTACATCCAAAAACACTCAGGAGATGCTTTGAATTGTCACTTGGAGGATATCTCTCATCTGCAAGGCTGGTGGTGGTTTCAAGTTGTGATAAGAGAAGATTTTCAGATGTGTGGCCTTGCTGTGTTTACAGTCTGTTAGAAGACTTGGCAGACGATTAGCGCTGCATTTGAGTATGAAATTTGGATTCTTGTCAGTTCAACAAGCCAGGATCAGAGAGATAACCAAGATTTGTTACGTAACGATGTCATGACAGCGAACATGGTGGCACAATATGTGAAAACTCCTCCAGCAGACACACGCAACAGATACACAAGCTGTGATTTCTGTCTTACTATCATTGTCACCTTATCTGCTCAGAGAGTTTTGCCCTTTTTTTTTTTCACCTGTTGCTATAGCAACGTGACCATTTGATTGACACACGTGTCTTTCCAACTGGCAGCACACCAGCCTGGGCTGCAGGCGCTCCAGCTCGGACGCAGCCTATGAGCTGGCTGAGACGGTGAGAGCGCAGCGTGAGTGCCGCCTCCGGCCCCACTACAGTGACCCCATGCCAGCCGACGCCTCCAAGCGCAAACAGCTGGAGATGAAGATCGCTGCCGCCGCCCGGCTCCACAGCCACCGTCGAGACCGCGACAGAGACAGAGACAGCGGTAAGTGCATCACACATGTGTGACAGCTGTGTGACTCGGCTCTTGTGTTGAATCTGTTTTCTGCCTGTAATCCACTGCATTTCTACCTACGGTTAAGGTCACTTTGGAGCAAATGATGATAAAAGTGAGACGATGGTGCGTTCAGTAATGAAATTAACCTGGGAGCATAATTCAAGGCCTCATCTTTCTTTAAGAGATAAAAAAAATGTTAATTTAAAAAAAAAGTTGGATGTTTTTCATCTCCATTTGGATTCAAATCTGCATGAAATCCCACATAATAATAGACAGTTATGTCGACTAGCTAATAGGTTAAAAGTCTTAAATCCTGTCTAGAAATAAGACAGGCTGACTTCAACAGAATTTCAGGCTATGTCCACACTAATATGTTTTTAATTTAAAGATGAAAGATTTTAACTTTTTGCTACATCTCACGTCCTCAGAATGGACACAAACACTGCAAACTCTGTTTTAGTTTGAAAACTTATTTTAGTCTTTAGAAACTGAGACTTGGATGATGACACCAATGTTTGCTTTGTGATTGGTTTTTAACGACTTTTACTGTGCATCATTCCCTGATTGGTTACGCTCCTTTAACATGACCATTTGTAGAGGAAAAAAAGGCACCAGCTCTGACAACCATTGGACAACAAACTACAGCTGAACAACCAACTGCCTGCTTCATTTTTGTACAGGCGCTTGGCATAGCCAGTATACATAAACTGTCATATGATGTGCATTTTTGGACATGTTAGCATACACAGAGACTGCTTCTGTCACAGTGTTGCGCTTGTCGGGATGGAGATCATTTTGATTTTAAAACGCTGGTTAGATGTAGAGTATTTGTGACTGAAACGCCACATAGTGAAATGCCAGCAATGTCTGTGCATGTGTCAAATTTGGTTGCAAGTGCAGGCAGCACTTTTATGCGTTTATGTTAAGCAAGTACACAAACAGAATGTGGATAAATACCCACATAGCAGAACTCATGATAGCTGGTTTTCAGATGCACTGATAAAACAATGTTTTTCAGAGAAGGGCACAGTGGTGAACAAGCCATTTAGGCAGAAATGAATGCGTATTGTGCTAAAATGAAATTGAAACTGAAATTGTAGCGTCTTATAAACGGGACCATTCTTGGGCCCTCTGTCATTCCTTGATTATTGAGTCTAACTTTCCATTAAATGTCACTAAAATCTGTTTGAAGAAAGCTGTTTTTTGCCCTTTAAATCAGGAGATTTGCAAAAGATCAGGGAACAAAACTAAAGAAGTTAAAGCAGTAAAGACAAGAGACATTTTTGTCCTTCAAAAACACTTCTCACATTTTCTATAATGTAACTTATAGAGTCTCTACACGAGCTCCTCATCTCCAGTTTGTAGGAGAAGCTTTTTGTTCAAAGCCAAGCCAAGATAACCCTCCCTCAGACATCCTCTGGATTGTTTTTTTCCAGACTATAATGCTCCTTAAGACCCAAGACACAGATTCTATAGCTGTTATCACAATCTGAATTTTACTCCTGAACTGAATGTGTGCAATTCTTATCGTGTCCCTTTAACTGGTCAAAGAATGTGACTTGATCCGTCGGTGAACGTTAAAGTCATTTTACTGTTACATAAGACATTGTAGTTTTAGTTTGTCTTAGTTATTAGAACAACCACACCTCCATTCAGAATTCTGTAGAATAATTTACAATATCTAAGCATCTTGATATTAGTGACGCATCACATTTCTGCAAAAACAGGCTTAGCATCATAGTTTTTAAACTGCTGCTTCTTTCCTGTAGAAAACCCAGTATATTAATAAATTCCTGGACTTTTACTGAACTCCATATCGTTGTTCCATCTCCCTCGCCTCATCGGAGGAAGGTGAATCACCTAAATTGTGAATGAACCTGCAAGCTGAGCCTCACATCTTTCAGTCTGTCCCATTTCTAAAAGAAGATTAAGAGCTGCATTTGTTTTGTTGGAACTTCTCTTATGCAACTTGTGTCATGCTGAATATTTTGGCCTCACCTCCTCCCCCTATTATAGAGTTCCCACTGCTAATGCTCTTCCCTGTCAATAGAAGCTCTTAGATGCTGGCTGCTGGCCACACAATGTCAGTCAATATGGCCCACGCTTTGTTGCTCTCTCCAGCAAACATAAAAGACCTTAAGATTATATTGTGAGCAGTAAAAAAAATATCATCATCCAGTGATTTTCACATTAATATAGATTGAGTGTATCACCTTATGCTTGAAGGAAACATTTGAAGTCTTGTCGTAGATGCTCAGCACACACAGTTTGAACACATACACAGCTGTATTGACATGTCATGCATGTGGACAAAGGTTAAGTCATTGACTGGAAGGTTAGAGATCTAATTATTGGAGAAAGATGATATCTGTAATAGTTTCTTCATCCTGACATGAGCAGTAATGAGCAGTCCAGATTAAATGGCCATCCATTAGTGAGGCTGATTTTCACACTGTGTCTCCATGCACTGTGAATTATAAAGGCTGTAGAGAGTAAATCCATAAACATCATAAGCACCAATGAATCAGACCATCTCCACCTCCCTCTCTGCAGCTCCAGCAGCAATCCGCGGCCGCTCAGAGCCCCCCGGTGAGGAGCGCCAGGCGATTCTGGGTGTGACTCGGTCCGGGCAGCACCGCTGGAGCACCATCAGCAGCCTGAGTGCAGACAGCGGAGTGGTGGGCCTCAGCGATGAGCGGGAGGAGGAGGACAGCGAGCCCCGGCGTTACCGCAGGAGCCGGGGAGCCGAGGTGGAGCGAGTGGACAGCGGCATCGGCCCGGGTCTGTCCCGCACCTGGAAGAGACCGTCGGCTTCCCTCAGAGCCTGGGAGGCCCAGAGACCGTGTCCAGACTGCGGGCTGAGGGACGGAGCCTCCAAAGAGCGAGGAGAGCGAATGTGTGAACGTTGCTCCAAGCTGCGCACGGAGCGAAAGGAAGCCATCCTGGAGTTTCTGAACACTGAGTCGAGCTACGGCGAAGACCTGAGGATCATCAAAGAGGAGTTTTACTGCCCCATGCAGAGCGCTGGGCTGCTGACAGCTGAGCAGCTCACCGTGGTGTTTGGGAACGTTCAGGAGTTGATAGACGTCAACGACCGCTTCACTGAACACCTGCAGGACAGCATCGACCAGGCCTTTGACCAGGTGACACACTCGCTCTCACAAAACTAGCTGAGCTTAAACAACTTGATTCTCTTCCTCTGATTTTATTCTTTCAGCTTCAAGTGCCCACTGGTCTGACACAAGTCACCTTCAGCATCACATTTATAAAGACATTAAATGGCAGCATTTCTTTTCTGCTGCCTACAGTGGAATGAGAATGCAAAAATATGGATTGCCTTTTGAGTCCAAAAATATCTAGTCATATCATGAGAGAAGCCTCTTTGCACTTTTTACATTAAATATACCAGTGGGGGGCCATGCATTTTACTCTTAGGCCTTCAGTGGCGTCCTACCTGAATCAAACCTCCTCTTAACACCGCCACTATGACACCACAGTTATAGAAACCATCAGTATTATGCAGAAAGGCAGCGTAACAGGATGTTGCACCCCAGACAGGTGTCTAATGTAGCAACAATGAATGCCATCACTAAAACAACAGGTCCCCTTTCACTGCAGCCACAGCTGCACCATATACATCACATCAGGGTTCTCACCCAAACACTGTGTCTTGGCCCGCTATGCTGTCTTTCAGACAATGCTAACGCTGCTATTCGTTAGCAGCTAAAGTCTTCGCTAACGGGGGAAGTGTCGCTAAGACCAGAGGCTAATTCTGAAAGTCAGGTCTGTCCAGTGGTATTTCTGCCATAAGTTTTAATTCGCTGTAGGGCTGAGAATGCCCGCTTGCTTAACTTTAAAAAAAAAAAGTAATACTTTTATGATAAAGTTTCAGCTTGTGCAGGTTGCTGTAGATACGAATTGCTAGCTTTGGCTGAGCTCTCTAACCATCCAATCAGAGGACTAGAAAGTGCTGACGTCATCGTAGGCCAGCTAGCTGGCCCTGGGACCACCAACTCTCAATCTGATTGGTTTAAGCAACACTTTCATTACAATGCATTTTAAGCTACAGCGGCCTGCACTTTTGATTCTGAAGGCCTCAGGGCAGATTTCTGTGACCCTGGCAACACATGATGGCTGAAATATGATTGGATTAAAAAAGAAAAAAAAAAGCTCTCATAAAAACATAAACTGCTGGAAGCACCACAGCCCAGAGACACACTATGAAATGAAGAGAACAGGGAATAAAGTTAAAAGATTAAAGGGAAAATTTTACAGCGTAAGTCAGTGATTCTGATAGAGTTCAGGCCAGCAGAGAGGGTCTTGCTGGCCCTGATGGCCCACCACTGAAATGTACTAAACATCAGGCTGACAAGTTTACTCACATAGATTCCCAGACACTGCAGGTAAAAGTGTTAATGCAGCAATAATAGAATTATAGTCCCAAGTCACCCAGAAAGTGAGACAAGGTGAAACCCATTAAAGGTCATGTTTTACTTTTTGGGTTTTTATCTTTTATTTAGTGTTTTACAGCTTAGAAATCCACACCAGAGAGAGTTTTTCCCTCACATAGAAAACACTGTCCCTTACCTGCCTGAAACACCTCATGTCAAGTTCAGGCTTTTCTATGTTATTTATGCTGTCATATAACACATGATGACATAAATAAAGGAAGAATCAGCAGCTTCCTATTAGTCGGCCATTTTTTCCTCGCTCAAGCCGCCTCTGTAGGTCTACGTTTGTGCCTATGCTCATAGATCAGGGGTGACAGTATTCGACCAATGTTAGGTCACTTTTTACAGACCAGTAAACCAATCGAAGCAGACTGAACTGTTCAGGGGGGCAGCCTTAAAAAGACAGGAGCTAAAACAGCATTTCAGACAGAGGGCGAGAAGAGGTGATGCAGCAAACTACAGTAAAAAGTAAAACATAGTTCTTTGAACATTATAGCATGTAAACATATTCTAGTGGACCCTTAAAAAAACAGTTCCAAACATCTAAATGTGCATACGGCTCTTTAAAGGTGCTCTCATTAATGTGAATGGGTTCACTTACGGCGAGTCACTTCTGCATATCCTCTCAGCTATGTCAGAGATAAGATAAGATAAAACTGTTTAAATCCCAAAGGAAATTATTTTGTCAGATATTGTTTAGACACAGCATTACATAACATGAGAAACACAGTGCCTGGTAGAAAAGCAATAAGATTTAAGTTCAATACATTACTAAAAAAATGAAAATAAATAAGATCAAATATGACTAAAAGAGAAAAAGTAATAAGCAATGCTGACAATGGTCCTGATGTAGTAAAGTAGTACCACACAGGATAATGAAGTACCGGATTTGAAATTGAAATATTACTCATGAAATTTCAATATATAAAGGGAGCATTTTAGTTTTTTTTATTGTTTTGGTTTTCAAATCATTTGCCAACATGGTAGCTTAACTACACAGAGTAATAATATTGGAGACAAAACATTAAAGGCTTAGTAAGTCAGAAGATTTTAAAAGTTGCTCCGACTTGTATTGTCGTCAACAAACTGATGAAATGTGACCAAATATCTCAGGTGTTTGATGTGATTGTTTAGTGAAGATACATGGACTTTGTTACTGACAGCCATGAGGAAAGTGTACTCCATTGATCATTTTTTAAAAACAGGAAACATCTACAAACAATTTCAGCATTTGCAGTAGAAAAAATTGGACGGATACCAGCTTTGTAATTAATTTGGCACACTGTTGATACTTAGCTGATATGTGTGGGAGGTTCATGTATTTTCAGTACAAATTAGCTTGTTTAATATTTACTTCAGAGTTGACTCTTTTTTTTATGATTGAAAGTTCATTCCTCTCCTTGGTATCTGCTTGAACGATCTCGCCACAATCTGGGCCTTATAGTGAGATCATTATGTCAACTAACAAGATCAAGGCTGGGAATGAACTTCCAATCTTGATTTTCAGCCAACATGGCCAACAATTCCTTTAATTGGCCAGAAAAACACATTTACAGTTCCATTACAACCGGGCAAACTGGATCTGTTCGGAATGATTGCCCTGTGGTGAGATTGTTCTGTCGTTTTTCTTGATTTCAGTTCGCTGATTTCCATCTTGTTTCCTGAGACTGACACTAATTTCTAGGAAAAGCCAGCTGCTCTCACATGACACTTCATTTTCACTAATTCTTGCTGCAACACAGTTTATCCAGTGCTCCCTGCGCAATACTCTTCTTCCTTTGTCATGCCAGCTGCTGCACTCTTCGCCTGAGAGCCACTGTAACGACTGTGATCATTCGATGCTACTGCTCTTTATTAAGCGTTTCACAACCTCCACCTAGCAATAACAGATAGGGTCACAGTTTTTCAACTTTATCTGCACTAATTAATCAGGGGTCAATATTAACAATGGAACAGATTTTCATTGTTGCAGCCATTTTGTTGGTCATATTAGATCCTTTTCTATTGTGCTTCCAGGAAAAGGTCAGGTACAAAATCCACTTTTTTTTGATTCGAGATGTGTCATTTTAAAAATGTGCTAAAACAAAAATAAAACTTTTACACTAACTAGATTCTGTAAAAAACAAAAAAGTCTCCTTTGTGCAACTGTGGGGCCATTAGTGACTCAGCTGTCACCAAGAGTCATGAGAAAAAAAGTCTTTTTTGTTGAACTGGACTGAAATACAGGCAGTGTTTACACAGAAAAGAGACGAGACAAGCATGGAATTCAGTTGAAAATGGGTTATGGTTACCATATGAAAATGGTTAAACATGTTACAGCTTCTATAGCACCTGTGGGCACATGAAAACATGTTGCACATGTTGACCCATGTTTTTTCTTTAATTTTTGTAAAACAAGTAATCTGAGAAATTTAAATTCCCTTTTTCTTATTATAGGAATTATGGCATTACAAACGTTTCATACTGCACAAAAGATATTTTAGTTCTCTCTACGTCTATCCATGGTTTTGCTGCTTCCATAGAGGTGCAGGACTTAATGTAGCAGTAAAAAATAAGCCCACAGTGACTACAATGTGACAGGAGCAGAAAACGCTCAGAAACTGTTTGGAGTTCAGTTTGTTGATGGCCGGCATGAATAGGAGAAATCACTACATTTAGATATTTATATGCACCGTTTGTTTTGAGACACACTTGGGAAACAATGTGAACCTACCCTTTAATCTGTAGCCTCAGAGGTTTAACTCTTATGGGGAAAGTTACTATTGTCTAGCCCCAGTCACTGCTGGGACATGATTTTGTCAGAGCTTTATACACCACACGTCCACATTAAAACCACTTGCCTAATACAGTGTAGGTCCTCATTGTGTTCCTTAAACAGCTCTGACACTTGAAGCATAGGCACAGGACCTCTGATACTGTCCTGGGTTGTCTGGCACCGGGATGTTGGTTGTGAATCCTCCATATATTGAACTTGCTTTAGTGCACCTCACAGACACTGAATCGGATTGGGGGAGTTTGAAGAACACCTTGAACCCACTTTGGAGTGCACTCATTCTGCGACGATGTTTACTTGGGTGGTACATGTCAAAGTAGCATCCACATGAATGCCAGGACCTAAGATCTCCCAGCAGAATATTGCATTGCAACAAGATGATCAATGTTATTCACTTGACCTGGTAGTGGTTTTAATGCTGATAGATGTATAATCTCTACGCATTCTGCACTAATGCTACTGTTCTGGCAGATGTTTAGACACAATTATGGAAAATGTTATCTCATGTGGTTTAATTAAAGGGCGATGAAGATCTGCTGACAGTCTACATCGGAGAAATCTTCCTGGAGTTCGTGAACATGCTGCCCGCCTTCCAGACCTACTGCCTGCAGCAGTCCACCTCGGTCAACATGCTCAACACGCTGGAGAAGGAGAAAGAACTGCTCAGGTACACACACAGTACAAGGCCACTTCTTCCAGTTGGTCTGTGTGATGGAAAAGTTGCTGTGGGAGCTTTCTCTTGTTCCTGCCACGGCTGCTCTGTGTAATTCTTAATGGAAAAGACAGCGAGTTATCACTTATTCAGAGGAAGTTCTATTTTGAGAGTAGAGCTGCAATGATTCATATTTTTAGACTGCTCACCCATGAGTCAGGCTGTCCTATGATTCCCATTAATCAAGTTTTTAAGAGTTTTCCCAAGACATGCACTGGCTGTAAGAATTTTTTTTTAATTTTGTCTTTTCAGAATCTTCCTGGATGTTTCCCAGAATGACAACACAGCACTGCGTCGTATGAACTTGCGCTCCTTCCTCATGGCTCCCCTGCAACGCGTGACTAAATACCCACTTCTACTGAGCCGCATCATTAAGGTCACCCCCGAATGTCACCCCGACTACTCGCGTCTCCGTGAGGCCAAAAGTCGGGTCGAGTCCCATCTGGAGCACATCAACATGAAGACCAAGCAGGAGGGCAACGGCGTCACCTGGTCCCTGCGCTCGTTCCGTCGCGACAGCCGCAAGAACCGGGAAGTGATCAACATCGAGATGCGGGAGGTGTCGATGAAGACGGTGGGCTGGGCGCGAGAAAACACGCGGTTCGTGATGGAGGGACCACTCCAGTTGTCCCAACCGGCGGACGGGCAGTGGGTGAAGAAGGGCAGCAAGGCCCTCAAGTTCCAAAACGTCCAGAGTCTGCTGATGGTGAGGACACAGCGGTCCGGCGAGGCCCCAGGACAGGGCGCCGACTTGGCGGCACGTGGGGATCAGGTGGAAAGCAGTGGAGAGAGCATTCGAGATGGAGTGCTGGTTCTAATCAAGGACAAGAGCAGCGGGAAGTTCGCGGTGCTGCGGGAGCCCATCCGCCTGGGGAACTGCGTGGTGTCGACAGATCCAGAGAGTGAGGACACTTTCGAGGTGCTCGATATCCGGCGGGAGTCTTTCGTTTTCCGCGCCTCGGACAAATCCCGCACCCAGCAGTGGTTCCATCAGATCAAGAGATACGCCCGAGACTTGGGCACTTGGAGGAAAAGACGTAACGCTTTGCCCAACATCATGATCAACACAAACCAGACGCGCTCCTGAGACTAGCCACCTTTGTAACACTGTATATAACCTGAATCCTTCTACTGCAAAAATCAGCTAACAACATGAAGCATTTCTGAGTGACGCCACTGTTATAACTTGTTAGATTTCAGTAAAAAAAAATAAAAATCTTTCTCAAAATCTCGTGAGGGTAAGAGAAAGATAAAGCACTTTTTTCCTACAAAGCTCTAAGTGCGCCATACTGTCATGAAATATGTACGTAGATTTAATTTTAAGCCGTTACATTTCCAAAAAAGAGAAAAAAAACACAATCATGGACGACCAAAAAACTTGGGCTGTGCTTGTCAGCCTTGATTGTAAAGACTGTTGGAGAAACAGAGCTGTGTTTTCGGTAAATAAGGTGTGTCTGTTGAAAAGCATGACTGACTGCAAACAGAAAAATTGTAATGTCATTTTTTTTTTTATACAAGACAGCGGGGGGCTAAAAACATTTGTTTCTGGTTTGAAAAGGTGGCGACGTAGTCCAGAGCTTTGTTCAGTGGTTTCTGTTTGTTGTTACTGCCCTTCCCTGTCTGTGTGCCGCCCTCTACTGTACGTCGGCGGTACAGCAACTTTCACTGCCGGAGACGCAGTCAAGCAGAGCCTCTCCAGCAGGCTGAACAGACCTCCAGTGTCACTGTGTTTTCAATGGGATATTCACGTAACAGCAATAATCTCTGCCAGTTTTCAAAATAAGTAGCTACTGTATATGCATTTAATTTTCAAGGATTTCCTTTTGGCGTTCAGGTGATAATCCTGCTTCAATGAGCACTGTGTTACCGAGTTCTACAGTATGTAGCAGATTCAGCTGGAATCTGATTATGTTTGTTGGCATGAATACAGCTTCCCTTCGTCGCCCCCAACACCGAGGAAGTCTCTGTTCCGGTCGTGAGAATTAAGATAATCTTCGTGCCATGAGGGCAATCTGTGAAAAGTCTAGTCAGTCTGCTTTGTGTTAACATCATGTCAAATAGGTAGCGTCAAACACTACAGCCTCCTTCACTGTGTGTCGAGTGCAGAGTTTTTCAACCTTGAATCTATTTATGGCACTACAATACACTTTCAGTAATACATATTCAGTGTATTCTTTTCTTGAAAATAATAATAGTGAAATGTGACCATCTTAAATACCCCCTCTGGTGAAAAATCACACTTTTGCCTTGTCAACATGGCCATGGCTTCCACCTTGAAACTGCAGAGTTCTAATGACGGTCTAAAAAAGCAAACTGAGACTTTCAGGGTTTCATGTGTAACAAACCTAAGGGGCCAATCCTGAAGACTTACATCTGTATCGTTACACTCGAACTGCAATGAGCAGTGAGGTGTGCATGAAGAGAGACGAGAACTTAATAGTTCTGCAAACTCTCAAAAAAAAAAAGCAAAGGTAGAGTTTGATATAAGCTATTTTAAAACACAAATGGATTATTTGACTGGAAAATACTCCTAAATATGTCACTTTCACACCCAACGATGTGTGTTTAGGGATTTAATATATGAACAGACCGAACCCCAAATTTATTTGGTTTTAAATTACATAAAAAGCAAAATTTTGGCACTTTTAGTTAAACAAATACTCAAAATTAAATTGGAAAAAGTTACATAAATTCTGCTGGTGCCCCACGTCCACCACTGCTCATGGAAGAGAGGAATGATTGAGGGCAAAGGATTACAGTCAATAAAGTACATAAAAAATCCAATTCCTTGTACTCAAGGTGGGTTTAAAAAAATAGAAAGCCTCTATTTCATTGGGTTAGAGAGAATTTTAAAAAAACATGCCAAAGCATGAGCTTGCACCTTTATGCCATTTTCCTTGGCTATATTTCTTTCGCCTTCCTTAAACACTTGAAATTGTTCACTATGGGCATCTAATCTATTGATTATCATCAGCACTGTCCATTTGGTTTTGATGTATGTCACTATTTCTGTCTGATCCCGCCCTCTTCCCATGAGCAGAAACATGTTTTTTTTTTTTACATTTTGGTGTAAAGGTTGAAAAACCCTGCTGATTTGACAAACTTGCCTCAAAAAACGCATCCCAACCATGTTGTTGTGACACAGCTGTACCTGTGTTCTTATGTGACCTAGCGATGAGCTGTTGTGCCTTGGTACTCGATTACTGTTAAGCTAAACCTGACTGAAATATTTGCAATCTGTCACAGTAGCATTGAAATACAGACTAGTCTGCCCTCCGTCTGCACTTGACTGAGCTCAACTTACAGGCAATATGATTCCTTCGACAGTTCCTGACTGCTGACGATATGTGATCACCTGATCCTCTTATTTTAGCGTGTTCTTACTACTTCATGGTGTTTTTTTTTTTTATTTACGAAGGCTTTATTTTGTTTGATGCACTTTATTATAATTCAGTAATAGAATACTCTTCAGCTGGTAAAACATCTGTCGTGTTCGTTCACTATTCTGGACGTTAGAAGGAACCTGGCTGACTGGGGCTAATTTCAGCACTGTACAGTCGATCTGTTCATTAAACCAAACCGCTACTCAAGACCAACGCTGTTATGTTTTGTTATAAGGCAGCACAACAAGAGAGAGCGAATCACTGTGTTTTGGAGGGCAGGGCTGCGATATTCCACACCAATACTCATGTGGATGCAGTTTCAGAATTAACATTTCCCCCCCAAAAAAAGAAAAAAAAAGCCTGCTGGGTTGCATAAAGTTTTTTTTCTTTTCCTCATTTGCGTTTGAAAGACGTGCTGTATTATTTCCCCAATGTAATATATTGTGAATTATATTAAAAGAGTTTAAACACGACTTATACTGTGTAAAATGAAATGAAATGTAGAATCTGTTTATTTGTTTTTGTAATTTTGCGCATCTTTAGGACTTCAAAGACAGGAATACACATTGTACAAGTGGAATGCACCTTATCACTCCAGGAAACAAAAGCACAAATTGTTAAGAGAGTGAATGTGAGTTATTTCTTGAAACTACAGTCCAGCTCCACTGCAATATTGAAGCAAACAGAAGCATGGATGTCCACAAGAGAAACGAACCTTCGAGTCATATTAGGTGAAAAAAAAAAAAAAACGAGAAAATTTAAAAAGAACATACAACATGCAGTACATGACATTCTGAATATTTTGTGTTTCCAGACAAAGCTTCATCACCAGAGAACCAAAATATTGAAATGGCTCAACGGACATCTTCATTGACACTGTTCTGCAGGAGTTCTTTACTTTTTTAGTGGAAAAAAAGACAGAAATCTAACTAATCACAGTAGCTTTATATCAGGTGAAGTGCATCTTTTTCATTTCTTTGGCTCAAGCCTCATTTATAAAAAAAATTAAAGGATCCAAATCCAAGGTTTTGTTTTTAAAGTCAGAACTGATCAAAATCGGGAGCACTGATTGGCTGTTGGAATCCAGACTTAGTCATCTGACTGTTGCATCAAATTTGTTCTTCATAAATGAGGCTCCTGGATCTCAGTTTGGATGGATCCATTTTTAAAAAAAAAACATATTTCCTACAAAATACCACCAACTCAACACAAACACATTTCCCCTTTTCTTTTTTTCCTGGAAAGAAAAACAAACAAAAACAACTACAGAAATTAAGGCTGCAACACCTCACTCTGAGCAATCTGTCTTCTTGAACAAATTAAACATCAATACATCACGATTCAATAATAGGATGCTGACTGTTGCAAATTAGACCGAACAGCTGCAAAACCAGCTCAGTGAAACAGTAACACAGGAATTAGATGAAGCTGAGAACACATTTTCCAAAACCAGCAACAAATCGAACCTTTGATCTTAAGGCTCTGCACGAGGGTGTCACCGTCTCTGCTACCCATCCGACAGACTGCCATCTATCTGAAGCACTTCTCATGCATGCATTCGCACAAATACACGCTCATACACAAACACACATACTCATACAGTCTGTCCTCAGCTGCTGGGGACCTCAGGCAGATCCCTGGGTCTTGCCTTCCAGGTGGGTTAAGGTCTCGAATCTGCAGCAGCCGCGGAGAGGTCCCAGTTCGGGGCGGCTTCCTCCTCCTTCTCCCACAGCCCATCAGGTCCTCGGCGCTCTATTTGTCCCCGACAGACTCGGGCTCCTTGGCCAGGCCGCGGATGGACAAGTCGTAAACCACCTCCTCGATCTTCTTCACGTCGTACTTGAGGCCGTCGTACCGCTTCCGGAGCGGGTCGTTCTTCAGGTTGAGCAGACGGAAGCCAGAGTCCAGCTCGTTGATGAAGTTGGAGATGCGCAGCGGCCGGTTGTAGTCTCCCGCTGTGACGCTGTTCACGGCCAAGCGTGACTGCAGGAACAAATAAATGCAAAGGTACTCAACTTCCATAATTTGAAAGACAATTAACGCACATACAGACATTTGTGGCTTACAAACACTGGAAACTGCAAGTCAAAGCATCAGTCGACAATGACTAGTTGATTACTTTTCAGGTATTTGTTAACTTGTTTAAAGACATTTTAGTTTGAGGGGTTGAAATGAGAAGCTAAGAATGTGACATAACTGCCCCTGAGCCTTTCCTGGAACAACTAACCTGTCAGATATTTTTGAACTGACTGTTCACTCTATAAAATGTCATAAAAACATGAAAGACTTCCATTTGAAGTTCCAAAAGCCTACAGTGATGTCTTTCCATTTTATCCAACAGCCCAAAACCTGAAGATATACATTTTCCAATGACATAAGACAAGGCTGCAACTTCAGAGCATTTTCACATTTGATTATTTTCCTGATTAAATTATTAGTTGTTTGATTTGTAAAATGTCGGCCGGTGTTTCCCAAAGCCCAAGATGATATCCACAAATGTCTTGTTTTATGCATCCCTAAATATATTCAGCTAACTGTCATAGACAAGGAAAAAATAGAACCTATTCAACTTTAAACTGCTGAAATCGGAGGATTTTGATTTTTTTCCCCCTAAAAAGTTACTCAAACTGATGCATCTACTATCAATACAGTTAATTCAACAGTTGATAACTGATAGTTTTATCGCTGCAGCTGTAATAAAAGACAAAGAAAAGAAGCAAATCCTCACATTTGAGAGGCAGAGATTGATTTATTTAATTTTTTGTGTTAATTTTTTGAATGACTCAACAATTAGCTGCTTGTAACATAATGTCAAAAATTTTGGAAACTGGTTTTCTGTTGAGTGATTGCCCAGTTCGGCTGGGACTGACTCGGCTCTCAGCGGCAGCCAGTGGATGGTTGATTAACTGACCAGCTGTCAACTGCCTCCAACAACACTTATACATACACAGCACATATTACTGCTCAGTAAATCCTACCTTCATGAGGGTTATATGGTTCAGTTTTGTTTTTTTAAATTGGATTTTCAGCATTACATACAATCTAGAGGTACATTACAATTCAGTTTTCTCCTTTTTTTTTTTTTAAACACAAAACATCTCGAACAATATACCCTCCACACATATACAGATGAAGAAAATTATAAGTAACAGAAACACCTGTATCGACAATAGATACAAAACAAAAATAAGTAAACAGAAATTAAGTAAAACCAGTGAAGATACAATGAATAAATTATGTTAATAATACGTAAAAGATGGAAAAGATGCCCGAGCCACCTCGAAAGGAACCAGTTGAGGTGGCTTGGGCATCTTTTCCGGATGCCGCCTGGACGCCTCCCTGGGGAGGTGTTCCAGGCGCGTTCCACCAGGAGGAGACCTCGGGGAAGACCCAGGACACGCTGGAGGGACTATGTCTCCCAGCTGGCCTGGGAACGCCTAGGGGTCCCCCCGGAAGAGCTGGGGGAGGTATGCGCGGATCGGGAAGTCTGGGCGGCTTTGCTAAGGCTGCTGCCTCCGTGACCCGACTCCGGATAAGCGGGAGAAGATGGATGGATGCATGGATACGTAAACTAAGGCATCAGAAGGAATTACAGTGTGTTAAAAGTTGGTCTGTATAACCTGCTGCCATTCTGCTCTATGAAATCGTCAAATATATAATATTACTCTATGGTTCACTTTTTAATGAAAACCTTAGAGGACTTTAACTAGAATTTTTCCAAAATAAACAACATAATCTCCATGCAGAAAGGTTTATCACAGGGCTGTTGCACAAGACTGCATTACTTTGATTAAGTTGTACATAATTAACTTGAGTGTATATTTGTATATATGTAGCAATGTGATCTAAATTTTGTGACACAACTACTTGTCATTTTCTAGGACTCTGTCATGATTGGTTACTAGTATAAAACACCACACGCTGTATTAGAACAAAAATCTAACTGGTTCAGGTCTGTCATTGAATCATGTCACGGTTTGATTTTTAGATGTTTCTTCCAGCAGTAGGAAGATTAGGAGGGTATCGTCCTAAATTTCTGACGCAAGACCATTAAAAAGACGTTGGTGTGACCTAAAACTACAATTTTTGAGTAACAACCAAAAGTTTCATCGTGTTTTTTTTTTCCCCTTCTTTGTGCACTTTCATTTGCTACAGCCAAAAATGTATACAGAGGTTCTTAGATATCTCTGGGACACTTGAGAACCTTGATGTATACATGAAAACTGAGAGGTACATTGTTCTAGTGTTACTATATTGTAAATGTTGTAGCAAAGCAATCAACAGCAGACTCACCAGTTCGCTAGCCATGATCAGAACACCTGCCAGGTAGTCCTCCACGTCCAGGTGAAAGCCTTTCTCTCGTACCACTTCAACTGCAGGGTGAAGAGGAAAGAGGAAGGAGAGTCAGGCAGCTGTCCTCAGTAAGAGTCACACTTTATCACATGTAAAAGGTACCTACTCCCGAGTATCTGAGCCACCTCCTCCCGAGTCACAAGAGTTTCAGTCTCCAGATAGACAACAAAGGCTGCTAAGAAAGCCAAACGCTGCAGAACAAACCGCCAGTGTTCGTGGAACCTAAAAAGGGATGAAAACGATCAGAGAAACAGAGATAAAACACTTTATTTCACCGGGTTAATCCACTCAGTAGAGGGGTTTTCTTGGCTCTGAATGGACCTGTCGGGGGGGAACAATGCCTGACAGAAAGTGTGGCTTCTGAGCAGGCTGAGTACAGTAAAGGCAATGAGACTGTGCCACCTTATGAAAGAAGGATATGCATTTGGATTTAATTTCCAACCATTAGATAAACTCAAATGTCTGCTATGCTTGACTAAATTATATTTACAAACAATATATATGTTTTCTTCTTTTATTTAATGTTAGTTCCTATCATTTTAGCTGTTTCAATGTTGCCTAAAACATCTTTGAAGGCACCAAAAATCACTCTATACAGGTAAAACCCTGCATTATCAATCCTGCTTTTGCATGCAGTCAGAAGCACATAGATTGAAGCACAAAGTAATAAAACGAGACAGCTCAAATTATATTAAACTACAATCTGCTGATCAGGTGATGGTTGAAAGGGATTTCCAATATTTTATATCTTCCTCAGTGAAACTAACTTTAGATTGTATTTCAGAGTACATCACCTATTAGAAAAACTGAGCTAAATAAACTTTAAAAAGCAGAGCAGTAATGCAGACACAAGCAGCTATTGAAAGCTTACATTACAAAACCCACGGGAAGAACAATTAAAGGTAATGGAATAGATACAGATTAATTTGCTCTGTATTATCTGAATATTTCTACAGACTACCTTTGTTTGCATGAACTATACAGCTAACGTAGAGATGAAAACAAACAGCATTGAATCATCACAAAAGCTGCAAACTGCAGTTATGAAGAAAAGTGGTTCCTACCTGTAATACTGCTCCACAGGAAATTTTGTTTTCAGGTCTGCAATCTGTGTCCTGACTGTGCAGAACAACTCCCGCGCCTTTGTGCATTTACTGGGAACTAAAGGGGAAAGAGTTTAAAATGTTTAAGAGCAAATCTCCCTCTGTACAAGTACAACAGTACACGCTGTGTCCAACACTCACTTTCTTTAAATCCAGATGGTTGATGGACACTTTGAAGTACTGTCAGTATTTCTCTGGCAGTCTGCTCCAAGGTCTGGACCACCTTACGGATATCCTGCAAAAAAGTAAACGAAGCAAAACCTCACATTTTTATTCTATCGTTGACACGTCCTGATAAAACCCAAATATATTTAATGTACTTTTTAAAATGATTCTGAATCACCGATTAACTTGTGTCAACATCCATCATAGACAGGGGCTCCAGACTGCGACCATTTTGGATGCATTTGCGACTATTTTTTGATAGTTGAAATTTCAACTGGTCGCACTAGTGACTGATGATCATTAAGCTGGTTTAGTGTCATGGTAACCAGCAGCTACTGTGTAAACCACAGTGGTGGAAGTCAGCACTTTTACAACTTCGGTGGACTGCAGTATTTACACTTCAAAATGCTGTCTTCTCATGAAATGTGGAGCGCACCTGCATTAGCTGTTTTCTATGAGCAGAACAGCCCATGTAAGTGTGCTCCACATTGTACAAAAAATATATATATTCTGCTTCATCTCAGACAAATCTGACACGAGAACGTCCCAGTTTAACTCTTTTCAAAGCATTTTTTGGTCACACATCTGTCTGAGCACCGCAGCCACCAAGCAGCAGCTACCACAGCCTGCAACACAGGGCGTTTAGGGAACATCTGTAAATTGTAGCATCAACTGATAAGCAGATGTTCAACAAGTGATGCATTTTGCCTGTGACCAGGTGGGAGGTACGACCTAAGAAGAAAGATAGTCGCACCAGCGCTACCTGTGAAAAAGTTAGTCTGGAGCCCTGATCAGACAACAAGAAAGTTAAAATCTCCCTCCAAACAAAGTTGTGCTTTGCTTGTTGTTAGCAGGGTTCAATGATTTGCAATTTTATTTGTGATAGAATCTTTTAAAGTCAAGGTTCAGTTCAATATCCACTGTATGATAGATTTAAAACAAGTTATTACCACATGAGATACCGTCACAAGCACGACTGTCACTCAAGGAGGATGGCCTGCATTTTTTTACATGGCAGTTTAAACCCTAAGTGTGATATGCTGCTTAACACTCCTAAACTGTGGGCTTTATGATTTTGAATTGGAATTTTAAATAGAAATTAAGTGTTTAGCCCTATTTGTTATTTCACTTAGATGTTCAACCTTCAATGTGCAGAATGATGCATGTGCAGCGTGTAGATGGATGCTTTCACATTGACCTCCTGGAGTTTCTTCGTAGACAAATTAAGTCTATAATTATATGTCCCACAGACGTCCAGCCGTCTGCATGCTATGATAGCAGATTTTTTTTTATTGACGTAGAAAGCATCTTCCGTCAAGCAGTTAAACTTTAGAAATAATTTCATATTCACAGGTTCTATATCATTAAAGGGGAGGTGACAAGAGACAGGTGCAGTTCAGGAATTTCAGCTAGTTAACTGGACGTTTTTGTGTGCAGTCTATTTTTAAATGACTTAAATCATGTCTGTTTATGTTTTTTATTTTTTAAGTTTGTTTCTTCAAAGATACTCCGACCTAAAGCAAGGGTCGCATACGGTAAGAATAAGAAATCAATCTGCAACTTCAGAGATGCACCTCGTCAGATAAGCAGGGTTTTGCTAAATCGAATAATTTTTAAACAAAGTTTGGTTCAGCGAAGCCGAACTCCACTGAACGCGCCTGAGACAAAAGAAACAATAAGTAGGGCGTAATGTAATTGTTATTTTAGGGAAAGTAGCACGTTACTTCTGTATTATCCACCTGGTTAATGAGACACTAGACGCCTATTTATCGCAGCCAGTCATTGCAGGCGCTGTTGTCCGATAAACGGGACATCTTTAAGTAAGTTACAGTAATGGATATTATATGTTTATTGAGCTTTAACTGGACTTCGGTTCTGTTAGCCGCTAGCTAACAGACTGAGAGAGCTAGCACAGCTAACAGTGGAGTCCCAGCTCTTCATTCATACCTCTCGGACGTCCTGGTCGGCGCTCAGGAAGCCCTGGATGTAGCTGAACATCTCCGTGACCGACATTTCTGATCTGAGTCAAACTGTCCGCTCGGTACCGACGAAGACCCGTGCCGCTAATTTAGTAACACATCAACGTGCACGAGAGCCGTCCCCTCCGCCTCCCGCCGGCGCGTGGAGATGATGTCACAGGTGCCAACGTCATCATAATTTTTCGGATTTTTAAATAAAATGATAGAAAAAAAAAGAAAAGAAAAACACTATAAGAAAATTAAAGAAAAGAGAAGAAACGTAAGGAATCTTACTGTGATTAGTGATGACACCCACTGTAATTTTTCGTTATACTGATTTTTTAGAGCACAAACTTCTGACT